ATGGTCGGGCGAATGTCAGAGTGCGTTCGAGAAGCTCAAAGAACGGCTTATTGGAGCGCCTGTCCTTGCGCACTGGGACGCTGATAGAGAAACTATACTGGAAACCGACTCGTCTGGATATGTGACGGGCGGCGCTCTCTCGCAGAAGGGAGATGATGGTCTATGGAGACCAGTAGCATTCTTCTCGAAGAAGAACATACCGGCAGAATGCAACTATCCAATACACGACAAGGAACTACTGGCAATTATCCGTTGCGTACAACATTGGGACGCCGAATTACGAAGTGTTGCCTCATTCACGATTCAAACAGACCATTTGAATCTACGTTACTTTATGAAGAAACAACTTCTTAGCGAGAGACAAGCTCGATGGGCCGAAATCCTATCACGATACAACTTTACTATACAGTTCCGACCTGGCAAAGAAGCTATAGTGCCAGATGCGTTATCTCGGCGCGAGCAAGATATGCCAAATGGCTCGGAAGACGACCGCATTGAAGGAAGGCGCTTCCAGCTACTTCAGCTACCTAAAGAAGAGCGCATAAAGCCAGTTAAGATTAGGAGTGGCTATGTAACGAAAGCAGACGCCGACCAGCCTAACGATGAGGTTGGAAACCAGGATACTATGGTAAAAACTCCCTTTACACAGCAGGAACTAGCCAAGTTGTGGGAAGAAGGCTTGAAGAGCCATAATAGATACTGGCTTATTCGCCAAGCAGTACAGAACGGGGAACGAAAACTTCCTCAGCAGTGGGGACTATCAATTATGCTATCTGAGTGTTCAATTGACACTGACGGAAGGCTATGCTGGCGGGACCGGATCTGGGTACCGTATTATGAGCCTCTTCGCACTCGTATCATTCAAGATACACACGATTCAACTCTCTCCGGACATCCAGGGCGCGATATGCTGAAGTCACGGACAGGACCTACAACGAGTAGGCTTCCATGGATGCAAGTAAGCAGGTGCTAAGTGGAGGCTATGGCTATTCGTAATCTGCTTCACTAATACTATACTATACTGTACTGTACAATACTCAAGCAACAAACAATATAGTACAGTACGTACCCCTCAGAACCGGTACCGGTGTCGATACAATAACCGACAATATGAGCACAGTTGGCGCTAGCACTGGGACTAAAGAGCATACGACGTCGGCTGGGTTTGCGCTGTGACTACGGGGTACAGTACAGTGCCGTACCAATACTGTACTACTATACTGTAATACTGCACCAGTAGATGCGAGTTTGCCTTACATATTGGTATTGCCTAAGGGTGCGGGACGAGTAATCCACAACTATGACCAGCACGTAGTAATCGCCAGTTGATTACTTTCTAGAATGGTTGTAAACAAGAGAAATGCCGGTAAACTACCAAAGTTGGGCATAAGTAAAGTGATCTGTAATATCCACGGCGCTAACTAATCATGTCTGAGAGACGACCAATAGTGCTTTTGGTTTTTGGCTCCACCCTAGTGGTTATCTGCTTAGTTGTATCCTGACCACACGTTATTAGTTACAGTGATTTTCTATTGCTTAAGTTAATTCCAAAAATGTACAGTACTGTCTCGTTTAGCAACGGGTATGCAACATCTTGGAGAGATAAACAGAAATTAGCTCATGTACTCTACGCCCTGATATATATAACTACCAAGTAATAGCCACTGCTCTCATTCGCATAATGTTAATAGATATCAATTTATATTCTAACTTCGTCTTCTGAAGGCGTTTTTTACAACCTTATTTTTCACCTACCATCATTACCATGAAGTTAACCTCTGCGCTACCAGTCGCCTTAGCCGCCAGCCTCAGCATGCCTGTGCTAGCAACCCCTTGTTGCGCACAGCAGGGTAAGGCTCGCCATGAGAAGGTTATCAGCCAGTACCTTCGATGTTGGGGAGGCGAGTTTGACCTCATGAACTCCACATTCGCGCCTGATGTGCATCTTTATCAAGATCGTTTGCCTACAGCAAATGGAAGCGAAGCCTCGAACTTGGTAAATAGACAGGAGTTCTTGGCCTTTATCAAACGCTCGCGCACCGGCTGGGAAAAGTACGGATTCGAAGTCATATTCTGGGCAGGCGATGAGAATAAAATTGCAATCCGTTGGCGTTTGGCTGCTATCATGGGACCGGATTTCCCTCCGAAAATTCCTACGTAAGTCACCGTCCCAAGTGCGGCCTCAATGGCTTCATGGATACTCACCCAATATTGTTACCAGGAACCTCAAAGCGGGGGATCATGTCACCTACAATGGCACCGACTTTCTTCAATTAGACGCTTGCAGTGGTCTCATTAAGCAGGTTGATTCGGCGCAAGACCTTGTTACCTTTTTTGACAACCTAGGTATATCCTTGATACCGCGTCCCAACTAGGTGAATGAATACCTGGGCACACGGTTAAATATGGTTATTAGTGGGGTTGTAACCATAGCCAAATATAACCACAAACCCAGAACCAGACCAGTTAAATAACCATACTAAAACCATGCCTGCATGTGTATATTACATAATCTAAAGCCACTAAATTGTGTCTAAAATTTCCTCCTCTATTTCGTTATCTTCATCCATTACCGTAGGTTCCATAGGCAGGCCCATTCCGTTGAGTTTAGATAGCTGGATATGCCTTTCTCGTATCCAACTGCCAATACACTCGATTCTCTGTATATTGAGACAAGATAGACTCAATCTATCCCATGAACAAGTCCGTCTAGATCCAGAGAAGACTCTCTCAGGCTCCGAGGACTCTGCTGGAATAGACAATATTGCTATGGCCACGCCGTAAACGGGGATAGCGTGATCTCTGTTCGCTTCGAGACCACCAATCCAGGGGGCTACAGTCAATTCGGAAAGTAGGGAGCTCAATAAATACCCGGAAGTCATCGTCATCTCGTATATCACCTGTAATAACCTCCATACCCCTCATAAGCAAATCCAGCTCTGCACCACACTTTCTAGAAGGTTTTGCTGGTGGAGGCATTGACAATAACTCAGGATCGGCAAGAGTGGCTAACCCTACTCTCACCTTTTGATAACACGTGTTATTTGTTGGTCCAAGGATTAATAACACGTGTTATCTGAAAGTGAGAGGTTGTGGTAAAAGTTCGTTGTTTCTTTGTAAGTTCCATGGTCAGAACTGCTCTAGTTAAATATACCGAATACATCCTGTATTCACTTCCTTTTCCTGTGTCTTCCACTTCTTTCTCCTTCCTTGGCCACTTCCAGTGACTTAATTATTCTTTCACTTCTCTGGCAAAGTAACGCACGTCCAATGTCACAATAGTCACAACATTATTAATCCTTGAACCAACACCAACATATGCACATGATTCACTCGTTTTGTTGTAATACTTCTCGAGCTTGTCCCAGCCAGCTTGACAGCATGGCCCAAGAAATGGATCATTTATGTGCTTTTGTCTTCCATCCTCAAAGATCTCAAGTAAAAATTCCATAATTGGAAAAATTGTATCCACTGTAGAGTATCGACCCTCACAAGCAAGCGTACCATACTCATATGCTTCTAAATACTCAAATAATGATTCGAGATGTGCCCAATCATTGTCGTTAAGTATATCATCTTGAAGATCTATTCGATTCATCAAGGTATAAGTATTAATAGCATCTTGTAGTATCAGTGCTCGAGCTAGCATCCGATACCATGAATTCCATCGAGTTGAGTTATCTCGGGGGAGGCGTAGATTTCCAGAAACCATCCTGAACGCATCTAGACGCTGCGTACTCAAGCTAATATAAACCGAGATGTTATGGAGCTTGCCAAGTGGCCCCTTCTTTCTCCAAACCTTCATCTGCTCTGTATTAAATTACTTTGGAAGTTGACCATTGATTTGGTTGTCCAAACCCGCTATGTTGTCGCGATCAGGGATATTGGGAAATAGAAAGCTTTGCGCAGAGAGATTGATGATATGGCCATTGCATCGAAGTCTTCGAAAGGTCGGATCCCAAAAGAAGGATTTATTAAGATCTGTAACGGTCTCAACTGAGTATATTGACAACTAGCTGAGCGACTACTACGAGTATACGAAGATAAAGAAGAAAGGATCGAAAGGGGGCTATTCTAGCTAGCTGGAATGGCCTTTTATATGACTTACATGGGTCCCTTGCCTAGATGGTCGAGGGCTACCCGAGACCTCCACGGGCCTAGCCCGTTACACGACAGGACCTTTGCCTCGTTCACCAGGCAATAACTCGCCATCGAGCAGGTATATATGTCATAGTTGGCGGCATCGCTCGCTCGTCTATTGATAGAGCCCATTGGACCAATGTAGTCTCTTCAGTCGCCAGCAATTTCCGATTGTTCAGCTGAGCATTGCCGCGACCGGAGATGCCATTGAGTCGACGAGCAACCGTTGACCTAGACTCATTGTAGGCAACCGCAGCTTCACGGACACTGATTGTGCCTTGCTGGCAGGCTCGCAAAACCGACGGGTTCTTCACACGAGACTGGTCGGACATCTGTTACTATGATCGCGCAAAGCCGTGTTTTGCGGACCTGAGAGACGGCTGAGGAATTTTGTTGACTTGTTAAGAGGTGTGACCCGCTATGGGGTAGTTTACGTTATCGCCTCGCTCTTAACGTAGACACGGTGCTGGACGCTAACTAAGCATTCGATCACCTACTAAAGTTAGGGATTACAAGGTTACGAACTGTTATGGCCATGGCCTTGAATCATTTGCTATAAATATGCCGAATGCAGCAGCAACTATCAATACTAGCCGCACGCTGTTCAGTGGACATCGACTACTTCTGAATACTATACTTCGATAACCATGCAGCTCGCTACCGTCTTTCTAGCTAGCATCGGCCTTCTACAACAAGCCGCAGCTTTCTCTTGCGCATCCGATTTTGCGGAGTGCTACTACTACAGTGACAATCCGAACACGCGCTGTGCTGTTGACTGCAGCAAGGGGACGGTAGACCAATGCCCATGTCCTGACTCTTACCCCGGTCATCCTGATTGGGCATATTCAGGCAATCACAAGTGCATTACCAGCATAGAATTTGATTTTTGGAATCAATGTAATCATGCGAATCCTCATGGACGAGCACCGTGCACCACCCTATATATCGAGCGATGATCACTTGGCTAAACCTTCCCAGAAATAAATCCAATTAAAATTCCAACATAATACAATTCAACTAATTAGATCTGTGATAGTCTTCAAATTCCAACATAATACAATTCAACTAATTAGATCTGTGATAGTCTTCTTCAGCTCTTCTCCAGAGGCTACTATAATATTTTAACGTACGCGGGAAGTATGTTCAGTCTGCTATAATTCCTACAGCACACCTAAATGTAACTTTGATTCGAATTTTTATTGGATTCTTTTCCCTCTATACTAGCCTGTAGGGCATGAAAACGTGCTGGTCAGGTCAACAGTGTCGCTACTGAGTAAGTCTCGTCATATAGCGCGGCAGAAAGACACGAGGAAGTTGACCTCCATTTGAGCTCCTGCTCCAGTTGTAATGGTAATCCCTCTCCATCATCAGCAAGTGGCAGCATCCGCAATATACATTCCGGCCCGTATCTCGACGTCATGAACACTGGGGGCTTGGTCAGCCTTTTTGTAGTCAGAATTCTCCTTGCGATGAGAAGAACGGCTGGAAGCTATCGCTTACGTCTCACGGGCACTTTATGCAGTATAGAGGTAAAAATAACATCATCTTACTGCTGGGTATCAGGAATAACGGTCATCAAAAGTCAAATCGACCCGCTCAGGTGATCCAGTACCTTTTAAAAATTCATAAAGTCTCCGATTTGATATAGGCGACAATGAAGTGGTTTAGCGTCTACTCACCAGCGCATGCGGTTCTGTTAGTATTTTTAGCCGGCACTGACTGGTTTCAGACCTTATCAATTCTACTATGTAGTTACTTTCGAGCCATGATGCCTGCCTATCCCCTTCACTTAGGAACAGCCTGGATAATGGATGCTTGGACTCGCGGCAAGTACGTATCGATACGCAGGATTTTGAATCCCGCTTTGCCAAGTAGCCTTTTCCAGTCATCCGCCGTTCGCTCTAGAGCAGCCAGCGACGCCATCATAATCAGGTCCAACAAGGTGCTGTGCACATGGGCGCCCATATTTGGTATGACAACTTCGTCAATTAGCAGCTGGGATTCAGAACCCATAGCAGCCTTGATATTGGCCAGAATAGCAAGCGCTTTCGGCTCCGGCCAGTCATGTAAGATGTGACGCATATAATAGAATTTGGCGTTTTTAACAGGCTGCGGAGTGAAAAAGTCATATGCCTGTATTTGGACCCCGTCGAACGGTGCAGCATGGGCAAGAGCTTGTTGAAGATCTTCGCCGATAATCTTGCCATAAAGTTCCGGGAATGCGCCAAGCAACTCTCTGGACTGGTGTCCTGAACCACAGCCGATATCCACAAAGGTGGTCTCGCCTTGGAAAGAAGCGAGTTCTTGTTTAAAAGGAAACACTGTAAACCACGGCACTCTTCTCACAATGGCAGCCATGGTTTGCTGAAGGGGCTCCCAGCGCTCTGGGATCGAGGGCAGATATTGAAACATATGCAGCGGCGTATTGAAGGCCTTTTGGGCCGGAGTATGTAATGCATCGTCAATATCTTGGTACTTTGTTTCTTTCAGGAAATCAGGTAGTGCATTCAGTCCTGGACCAACGTTGCTAAATGTATGGCGCGTAACGCCGCCATACAGAGGGTCTGCCAGAATCCGAGTGATGTGGTTGGCAGTAAAAGTGTCGACATCTGTTTCTGTGATCTGGTACTCAGACGCAAGATACCGAAGAATGCGACCTTACACGGCCCATGGTATTAGTTGGCGGTCCCGGATAACGGCTTACACTTACGAATCAAGAGTGGTGCTGCATTGACTTTGGTTGCAATGTCTGCGACGATGAGAGGGGCCTTGTTTTCTACCAGGATAGTGTAAAGTTTGAGATCCTGGGCAATTTTTGTCACGGGAAGCAATAGACCTAATCTTTGGAGACGGAAGTTGAAGAACTCCTCGGTTTCGATATCATGCTCCAGCCTGCGCACGGCGTCGATGGTTGCGGAGCGTGCTTCGGTACTGGATTCTGACACTTTTTGTAGCTGGTGAATCAGTGAGTCAATTTTCTCTTGATGGTTCATTTTAAATATTATTCTTTTTTTGAATTTGACTGTGCTTCAGGGCAATCAGCAAAAGCAAGGCGCCGCTTGTGCCTCTTTGTATTTAATGTGGGAAGGTGTAGTGCTGACTTAGCGCCCCACCACCCGGTGGATACATTTGGCGATTGGGCACGAGCGCTCCATGAGGCTCACTAAGCTTCAATCCTCTTCGCCTGCGCCCTCACCCAGTGTACCGCCTACCGTGAAGATTTGGCTCGCGCGATGACAGAAGAATTTATGCGTTACATTTGATGGGAGATTGTAGGTGTCATACTCTACAGTCCTCGATCCATGCTGAAGTAGTAAATTGATATTGCAACTAATGCTAAAGAGTGGCATCCTCTTATTTAATAGTAATATTAGCACTAGTTCGTAGATTCGGTAGCCTATTTGCACTCTAACCCCAAGTAGGCAGTAAATATTTAAGGATATAGCATAATCGAGCATTGTATAATTTTTAACGTTTATAGTTCCACACAATTTCATTTTTATTGCTCTGACTTGTAAATTAGCAATTCATGGATGACGTATGTGCAATGCCAGTGAGCAACGAGCCTGTGGTACAGTACATGTTGTGAACTCTGTCGCCACATTATGCTAAGTAAGCGCCAGTTGGAGCGGCTGCGTTGCATCAATCCCTCGCTCTCTAAAATTGACTCGGGCCGTTGTTAATACTGCTATTGTACAGTATTTATACCGGTACTTCAGAGTATTATACTATACAGTACTATACCTCCTTGCTGCTAATAAATATTTGTAACGACCCATAGGAGAGGCTGTAGTTACGAATGATGTAAGTTGTGCTTTTATTATAGTGCAAAGCTCCTAACGTTGTGTAACGGTCTCAACTGAGTATATTGACAACTAGCTGAGCGACTACTACAAGTATCCGAAGATGATGAAGAAGGGATCGAAAAGGGGCTATTCCAGCTAGCTGGAATGGCCTCTTATATGACTTACATGGGTCCCTTGCCCAGATGGTGTCACGACCTGCTGGATCGCTCTAAAGTCTGTCGGTCACAACACTTACGACAGTTACGATGTCGAAATAGTTGCTACGCAACGTGTTCGCTTACTAGCTGGCAAATAGAGAAGTTTCAACAACAAGTGTTTGCCAGCTGGCAGGACCACAACGTTGTATATAAATAGAGAAGTGAACTATGGAAGGAGGAGAGGGATTTGTCCTTCTTCAAGTTTGTTGTTTTCTTTCTATCTCATATATAGAATAGTTAACAATAGCAGCGCAGCCGCCCAATCAAATCAAATAAATAAATCTATCAAATAAACAAACAAACAGAAGCAATTTGGAGGTTCAAACAATCAAATCCAGTAGGCTCTAGATTTGATATATTTGATCAAATCTGTAGGGTATTTGTTATGTCTCACATTGCTATGCCACGTACCAGTAACGCGCCTGTCTCGTGTTACTATTTCGTGTATACCAGTATACACAACATTATATCTACAAACTTCATCTCAAATTGTGAATTTAAGATGAGTATAATGCTCTTTGGCGCAGCTCGCCCACGAGGTATCTTAGCGCAACTCGCTATAGCTTCCGAATCCAGTCCTTCTTCTGAATATGATCCTCAGACTCAGAACTCGTTGGAGAATTTGCCAACGGCGACGTGGAATGGCCGTCGGTTTGTTTCTGAAGATATGATATCAAAGAAAGGATCACGTGGTCGGACAACCTGGATTAGAAATCAAGGGGTCTTTATACGAGAGATTCTTAAACCTAATATCCTTGGTATAGA